CCCACCGTTCCCATGGACCTATTGCCTGTTTTCTTGGCATCTGCGGCTGATTTAGTTCATGTTCTAGCCAAAAAAGTGTGGGCCCGTAAAAGGGGAAGGCGCGGAGGCCTGCTCGTGCGTCTTAGGAGGAGAGGAGCGCGCACGGCTCTCCCCGGCATTTTTCTCTCCAACGTACGCTCACTGGGCAATAAGATGGACGAACTCAGCCTGCTCATGAGAAGAAACAAGGACTTCGCCACATCCTGTGTCCTCTGCTTCACTGAGACCTGGCTAAATGAGCGGATCCCGGACTGCGCTCTGGAGCTGCAGGGCTTTGGGCTGTTCCGCGCGGATCGCCATTGTGCGCTCTCAGTGAAGAGCAGAGGCGGAGGGCTGTGTTTCTACGTCAATACAAACTGGTGTAACGATGTGACAGTGATCTCCAAGCACTGCTCTCCTGCTCTGGAATATCTTTTCATTCATTGTAAACCATATTACTCCCCGCGCGAAATTGTTTCATTCATTCTTGCCTCTGTTTACATACCGCCATGCGCGGACGCGCGCGAGGCTCAGCGCGCACTCGCAGAGCAAGTACTGTGTATGGAACGCTTATACCCGGACTCTCTGATTATTATCCTGGGGGATTTTAATAAGGGAAACTCCTGCTTACAGACAGAGACTAAAGCTCTCGAAACCTGCAATGAGGAGCTCCAAAGTGTGGTCTGATGAAGCTGTGGAAGAGCTGCGCGCATGCATGGAATCTACAGACTGGGACCTTTTCAGAGCTGCCACAGATAGTTTGGATGAATATACGGACACTGTGACGTCATACATTCACTTCTGTGAGGATAGCATCATTCCAACAAGGACCAGGGTCATCTATAACAACGACAAACCCTGGTTCACTGCTAAACTCCGGCAGCTCAGGAAAGCAAAGGAGTCTGCTTTCAGGGAGGGGGACCGCAGCGGCTACAAAGCAGCTAAATATCAGTTCAGGAGAGAACTGAAAGCAGCCAAGTCCCGGCACAGAGAACGACTACAGGAGCAGTTTGGTAACAACGATACTGCTTCTGTCTGGAGGGGCCTACGGGAGATCACCAACTACAAACCCAAAGCCCCCCCCTGTGCTGACGACCACAAGCTAGCTGACGATCTGAACTTATTTTTCAGTCGCTTTGATGCTGCCCCTGACACCTCTCCCTCCCCCACCCCCCACTACTCTAACGGACCCACCCATCAGCCCTGCCCCCAGCCTAACAATAGCCGCTAAAGAGATTAAACAACTCTTCCTGAGGCTGCACCCCCGCAAAGCTCCTGGCCCGGACCACGTGTCTCCGGCCACTCTGAGACACTGCGCCAGTGAGCTTACTCCTGTGTTCACGGACATTTTCAACACCTCTCTGCAGTCCTGCCATGTCCCGGCCTGCTTCAAATCCTCCATCATTGTCCCCGTCCCGAAGAAGCCCAGGATCACAGGACTCAATGACTACAGACTTGTAGCACTTACGTCTGTCGTCATGAAGTCATTTGAACGCCTGGTTCTCTCCCATCTCAAGTCCCTCACCTCCCCCCTCCTGGACCCCCTGCAGTTCGCCTACAGAGCCAACAGATCTGTAGACGACGCCATTAACCTGGCCCTCCACCACATCCTACAGCACCTGGACTCCCCGGGGACCTACGCCAGGGTCCTGTTCGTGGACTTCAGCTCTGCCTTCAACACAATCCTGCCATCCCTGCTCCAGGACAAGCTCTCCCAGCTCAACGTGCCCGATTCCACCTGCAGGTGGATCACTGACTTCCTGACGGACAGGAAGCAGCGAGTGCGTCTGGGGAAGAATGTCTCGGACTCTCGGATTATAAATACAGGAGCCCCACAGGGCTGTGTTCTTTCTCCCCTGCTCTTCTCCCTGTACACCAACCACTGCACCTCCAGCCACGACTCCGTGAAGCTGATCAAGTTCGCGGACGACACCACCCTCATTGGACTCATCTCCAACAACGATGAGTCCGCCTACAGGAGGGAGGTGGACCGGCTGGTGTCCTGGTGCAGTGGTAACAACCTGGAGCTGAACGCCCAGAAGACAGTGGAGATGATTGTGGACTTCAGTAAGAGCACTGTCCCCCCACCCCCACCCTCCGTGATGGACTCCCCCATCACCTCTGTGGAGTCCTTCCGTTTCCTGGGCACCACCATCACCCAGGACCTCAAGTGGGAGCCGACCATCAGCTCCCTCATCAAGAAGGCCCAGCAGAGGATGTACTTCCTGCGGCAGCTCAGGAAAGCCAAGCTGCCTGCACAGATGTTGGTGCAGTTCTACACGGCCATCATCGAGTCCATCCTCACCACCTCCGTCACCGTGTGGTTCGCTGGAGCCACAGTCAGGGACAAACAGAGACTACAGCGCATTGTGCGCTCTGCAGAGGAAGTGATCGGCCGCAGCCTTCCATCGCTGCAGGACCTGTACGTCGCCCGAGCTCGAGGCCGGGCTGGTCGTATCACAGCCGACCCCTCTCACCCTGCACATGGACTATTCCAACCACTCCCCTCAAGCAGGAGGCTGCGGTCCATCAGGACTAGAACCTCCCGCCACAAGAACAGTTTCTTCCCCTCTGCTGTTGGACTCTTGAACACTTCTTAACCTGTCCCCCCGCCCTTTATAAAGTCACTTTACTGCCCATCATACGTCACTTTACTTCACTGTACTGCTGTTCACCTTACATTGTGTGCACCATGTGCACTTGTATATTGTAAATAGTAACTGTAACTCTATTTTAAATTTAAATTTATTCTTTAGAAGTGTTTTTTATTCTTATTTTTATTATCTCTTTTTGACTGTTGCACTGAGCCAAAGCAATTTCCTAGTCTGTGACCTCCTGTTACTTACGTGGCAATAAAAATGATTCTGATTCTGATCAAGAAATTGAAGCCGGAGCAAGAGGAATGTATAGCAAAAGTCATTGCTGGCAAAGATTGTGACGCTGCTCCCCACGGGTTCCGTTGGTGGCAAAGGAGATGGCTAGGTTAAATGGTAAATGCTAACGACTCAATCGGGCGCATTGCATACGTGACGGTAAACTCAGATCCAATCAACTCAATCTGAAAAAAAAGTTAACCCCTCCCACCTGTTAACAGAGCTCAATGGAGCACCTCCAGACCTTAGAACTAAATGTAATTTGTACTATGGTGTGGTACGACCACACTCAAACTGATCTTAAGATGAGACCAAAAATAAATTGATGTGAACATGAGTGATAAAACTTTTAAGAGTGAGAAACTATGATTCTAAGATTTTTCTTTTAAACACATTTCTTATCCTGATATTGCTGCCCCAAATCAACCTAGATATTGCGTTTTCTTGAATGTTTTGCTGTGGGGAATTTGGCGTGGTTGTTCGGATAGAATTTCCGTAGTTAAATTATGCCATGCTGATCAAAGACAGCGGCCGCCACTTTTTGAGCAACCGTTATCTAACAGAAAGTATTGTTGTTAATAGGGAAAACAGACTCTTCGCAAAACATTGCACTTTCCTGTGCCTGATGAAACATTTGAAGGCTTATACACACAGCTCTTCAAAATCCCAAAGTTTGTCTTTGGGCTGGTTTTAGGAAAACTTCACTTTAATTGGATTAGGTTGTTGATGTGAAATGGCAAACAAATGGAAAATATATTACTTTCATATATCCCAGAGGTGTGTTTTGGTGCTGTTTTATAAGGATTGGTCATTGTTGGCAGCAATATGGACTCTGCGGAAATACTGGCTTTAATGAGTCTCACCACACGCTTTTTTGTGGCACGTTTCGGCGTCAATGCGACCTGCTAAGAAATGCATTGCTTTTTGTGCCCCTATTGTTAATGTCATTTAGCAAGAATTAAGCTTTGAGGCTCGCGTTTACCCCTTACAGCTGGACCTGCAGTTGCCGAGCATTACCAGTTAATAATAGAGCCTGACAATAGGGATTAACCTGTCTAACAAATGCAATGACAGAGTAATCTTGACACGAGCAGACATTCCCCCTGCAGCCAGTGCCACTGCAGCCTTCTTGTGTCTTCAGAGCACGTTTTGGCCACAACGTCTTTACTTTCATGCTTAATTACCTGCCAAGATAGAGCTGCGCGGACACATACTCACACATGTTGTGAATATAGCTGCTGATAGGTTGATGCACCGCAGGAGAGCTGGGATTTGGAATGTGTCACTTGAATATGTCTGTTATTTTCTGATTGTTGTTTACCGTCTCTTTGGGTGCCCAAAAGTCTAGGGATGTTACGGTGCAAAACATCTATAAATATAAGGAAGCAAGTTTTATTTAACTTGAATTATTATGATGAATTTATTATTTAAACTCAAAACAAGATTTGCCAATGGGACAGGCCATTTAGTCTTATTTCAAATGCAGATGGACTGTACTGGTTAAACTTGAAAATTAAAATATCGTTCAAAGGTCCAACTACGTTTGTAATTCTACTTCAATCCTGCTTCTTCCTTTGCCGTGTCACAGAGGCACTAGACCTCTATATTCATGTACACCTTCTTCAGCTCATCTTACAGGAATCCAGCCATACATCTTTATGATAACGTTCTAAAAATTTACTGAAATAGATCTGTTATCTAAGTCATTTTGTAAGACTTGACCACTTATGAGTGTAGGGGTGACAGTGGCCCGTTTGGTAGAGCATTGGCCTTTTGAGCCGGAAGGTAGTGGGTTCAAGCCCACCATGAGACCTTCTCCACCGACTCCCATTGATGTCTGCTGTCATTGTGTCCTTTGTCAAGACACTTAACCCCACTTTGCCTGAAGCCCCTGTTGATCGAGCAGCCATCCTTCTGTAGACTCACCACCTGCAGGAGGATCAGTGAGTTGCTGGTGCTCCGACTGCCACCCCCCCGACCCAGAAATGGATTAAGGGGAAGAAGATGGATGAATGGATGGATTTATGAGTGCAGTCACTTAATAAAATGAATAAAATAGCATGTCAATTTATTGCTGCCTTCTTTTTGTTTATTTTTTGTAAAAATTAGTGGACAAAGAGGCCTTGAAGAAGAAGATCACAGAGGAGCTGAGTAAAGAACTGGAGCTGGACAGAGCCAAGGCAGAACAAGAGCTGCAAGCCTGGTACGTTACACCCCACAATGACATATGACATGACAATTGGACACAGATATGCTTGGGTGATAAAGACAAAACTTTTTCTGGTTAATTGAGTGATACAATTTCCTTTCCTTTTTTGGATGGGTATGTAAGGCAAGTTTATTTGTACAGTAAAGTTCGTACACAAGGCAACTCAAAGGGCTCTGAAAATAAAGTAATTTAGTTCACTTTATTCATTTGTGTGCACCCCAGATTATGTCAAGATTAGTTCTTTAAATCTTTTTTGTTTTGTTTTCATAATTGGTTGATTGAATTGGATTAGAGATCCCATAACCATGTTTTTTTTCTGTAATTATAGCTTTTTCTGAATTAGTCACTTATTCTCAGCATGTTTTGGTCTGGGTATCATTCATTAACCGATTACTAAATTAGTTGACAACTATTATGATTAATCAATTAATTTGTTACAGCTCTACACTATCGTCCAACAAAATGTTGTTCAAGTGATTTCATTTCTGGCTCTGATCTATGACTTTTCTATTCTATAATATTCATACTTGAAAATATGACGTAAGCTATTAAAGCGGTAAAAAAAGGCTTTTGATGAACTGATTTTCACATTTATATTGCACTTTGAATAAGTTTTTTTCAAGGCAGTCAAAGCGCTTCACATCCAGGAACCAATCACCCATTCACTTACACATTCATGTCCCAGGATACGCATACTCTGGAAGTGACGGTGGGTAAGTGTCTTGCCCACACTGCAAGACATGTGCTGTGTGGGCAAGACACTTAAAGAAGGTAAACTGGTTTCACACCTGCGGGTTGGTCGATCTTATGTCAGAAGTAGGATTTGAACTGTCAACTTTCAGGTTGGCTCTACCAACTGAGCTAGTACTGCCTATCATTCACTATGGAACGTCTTCCTCTTTGCACTTTCGGTGACAGCGTGTAACTGTGAGTTTTCAAAGTAGCGCATTATTTAATCCCTCTCTCTCTTTTACCCTTTTACCTGCTGTTCCGCTGCGGACAGTGATAGATCGGATACAGGTGGTGCGCCGGTATCAATTCCTGTTTCGGTCCCCGCATTAGAAAGAGCCAAGGACATTCTACCGCATTCCGCTTTCATTAATAGTCAAAAAGGTCAGAGCGGTCTCTCCGATCCCTACCGCGTTTTCCAATCTTCCCCACTCTCTTCTGAAGCACATCAGCACTTTTCCCTTTGCCTGCTCCTCCTTCTCCTATCTTCTTTTTTGGATCAATTAATCAGGTCTGGCAAAGAGGGAACTATTCAATGGTAATTTCCTGGATTTTGAGTGGATGATCTATTTGCCTGGTCTGATGAAGAAACATACTTGTTCTAGGGAGGAGCATGCTTGACTTTTTGTTAAGTTCTTCAGAAAGCCAGTTTAAAATGTCTTTCTGTCTCCTGGGGTAGTTGAAGCAAAGTGTGTGTGTGTGTATAATGTACTCTTATAAAAGATTTCGTAAAATGTTTTAATTGTAAATGTTGCATTTACAATTGCTTTGACATTTTTAAGTTGTATTTTTTTCTATTCCTGGTGATTCCTTACGAGGTGATATTTCGGATGTTAAATTTAATAAAGAGTAACTATTTGCTTTTGAATTGAAATTACATGCTCTTTTTACAGCAACATCGTATATAACAGGGGTGCCCACACTTCAAACCAAGATCATCACTTACAGCAAACCATTGAGCTGTGATCTACCTCAGATTTATGGGGTTGACACAATTCAGAATATCTTCTTTGGTTTGATTCATGATGCATACACTATGTAATGACCATGTTGTCTTCATACACAAAGACAAAATATACTTATATACTCCTATACTTTTAGACTTCAATTATCAGTTCAAACATTGACACATACATCTGCCACAAAATGTTTACTACAATCTCCTTTCTGTACTTTCTCTTGAGGATACACTGTTGAAACGCGTTGAACAGCATCCACGTTTGCATATTAGATTTGACCATCTCTTTTGATGCATGTCTGCATGAAGAGAGAAACCGGTAAATAGCACGAAGGATGAAATCGGTGCACACACTCAATGGGGAAACGCACAAGTTGGGAGTGGTGCATTGTCCTCAGATTTTTCATGCTGGCGCAATGAAACGTGTACATGTTGTGGGCGAACTCCGAACTCTTTTATGTTATGCAATCTTCCCATACAACCCTGCCTTTGTGATTGACCAGAAGCTCTACATATTTAGCACCCCGATTTACAACATCATATAAGCGCTACAATAACATGACAGTTAGGGTTTATTTAAAGAAGGAAGATTTTGTGGCTTGTGTGCACCACTGTGATGAATTCAGAGCAGTGCAGCTGTCTTCCCGTAGCCTTCAGTCCTGCTCTTGCCCCTCAGCACGGTCTTCTGCAGCTGCATTTGGCAGTGTATACGGTAGCCCTTAGACCAGGGATGCCCAAACCTTTTACTTCCAAGGGCCAAAATAAAAATTTGCCAGTGGACCACGGGCCCAAGACACCAATATTACAAATGAAACACAAATGTACAGTATGTACATTTTATCAAGTTTTTTAAATTATTGTTAATTCAATTATAATTAAAGCCGCAAGCGGCGATGAAAGGCCTCGCCCCTCTTGCGACCGCCTCCTGGGCGCCAGTCCCACAAGCGTCACGCCGACGAATATGCAGCCCGATTTGACCAGGATTACGAATATAAAAGCTCATTAATATGATAAAGTGCGCCCCTAGTGGTCACCTTCGGGACATGCACCCTCTACGTAGAGTAGTATTTTGCTCGTACAGATGTAAAGATTTGATTTTGCAACTTTGGTGAAGATCGGAAAAGTTTAGGTCAGAAGCCTTCCATAGGTGGCGCTGTAGAGTCATATTAGGTGTGTGTTTTCACATCATTACTCTCAGGCCATTACCAACTGTTAGTGATGTGAGTTTTAGCTCTGTAGGTCAGGAGAGCAACAATCATGGAGAAAATCCACACCACCTCACATGAAAACGATGAGGAAATTCTAACTTTTTCTTGATGGCTGTATAACTTCAATCCGTCCAGATGGAGAAATTATGTGGTGGAAGTCTCTGCGATGAAAAACCAGGGACTAGATGAAATTCAAAAAGACAACACCTTGTACCCTATTGCTTTCCGACAGAGACCTCATATTGGGAAATGTATTTTAGTGTCATTGCGTTAATCTAACAATAACCTAATAATACTGATGTGAGTCTCAGCTTTGTAAGTCTGAGCCTATGGCAAAGAGAGCAGGCTATAGTTCACCCCTAGTGGTCATCAGTGGGACATGCACCCTCTGCGTGGTGTAACATATTTGCTTGTATGGATGTAAAGATTTGACCCGGTGACTTTGATGCAGTTTAATGTTTGGTTCAAAGCCTCCCATAGGTGGCGGTCTAGAGGTAATATTAGTGTGTATTTTCACGTAATACAGTTCTACAGAAAGTGATTAATGGAGGAAAAACTACCAAGAGGTGGATTAATTAAACACAACAAACCATTTATTCCCAATAAATAAATACATTTACTTTGCAACACAAAAGTTATTATGGGTAGACCAGGACTCAAACGATACATATTCTGCTTCGGAGTCCGTCATATACCGACTGCGCCACACAGCTGTTGTGAGATGTATCATCCATTGTATTATTAGTACTAACTTGAAGCCTTGATATATGAGGATTTACTAAAGTGAAACGTTTTTAATTGTATTTCATATGAAGTTGTTTCTCTATACTTAGTACAGGACTGCTCGACATCACGCACACACACGTACGCACACACACACACGTACGCACACAGAGGCAGACGGGGACAGCCAATACAGTCTATGGTACAGCCGCGGATCACAAAGCACCTGTCAAAGCAATGCACTCTCCGAACTATATGAAGCACTATATGAACCGTGACGTGGTGCGGCCGCTACGCGAGGCTTCGAACGTCACCAACACACGCCTCGAACCACGCTACAAAAAATACGCCCCTTTTTTACTCGGTACACGCTTCGAAGGCCCGGCACGCTCAGCACATCACTAGTATGAACGGAGAAGGAGGACGCGGAGTAGGAGCAGCCCTTAATCAATGGTAAACTAAAGATCCATTTGAAAAAAATTACTTCTCACTGTTCTCAGGTCAAATATTTATATGCGACTGAAATGCGATTAATTGAGATTATTAATTACAAAGCCTCTAATTAATTAGATTTTTTTTTTATCGCGTCCCGGCCCTAGTAATAATGTAAACTGAGCCTAAAACAGTCTTCATCAAACTAACCCAAAAACAGTAGAGCCTGACCCTGGGAATAACCCCAGTTAGCAAAGTCCTAGTCCAGGGCTTTAACCACTACACAACACTAGAGCTCACCATGTCAATTTATAGGGTCCTAGGTTTTCAGTGTAGCACAAAATAAACAAATGAAATGCAAAATGTTGCTGACTGGCAGTGTCAAAACTGTCTGACATTTAACACAGACAAAACCGTTTCAATGTATATTACACTAAGTGTGTATAAGTGTACACTGTCCCTGTTCAAATAAAGTACATACAATACCATACAATACAATCAGTATGAAGACTCAGCAGCCTGTTTCACTATCATTTGTATTAAGGCAAAAGGTGCCCCCCTGGTGGTCAGGTCGGGTATTGTAGCTCTGAGTGTAATATTACTATATGAAAGAAACTGCTTACTTGCACGAAAACGGTGAAGATTTTCTAACTTTTATGTGATGATTGCATAACTTCAATCCGTCCAGATGGAGAAATGACATGGTAGAAGTCTGTGCGATGAAAATCCAGGGACTAGTACGAAGCCAAAAATGCAACACCTTGAACTGCCTGTAGGTGGCGCTGTTGCACTCACAGTTGTGTGTTGTATATCGTTGTGTTCAGGGTCATACGCTGTATTACTGAATTCATTTTTAGCCTCATTGGACAAACATTTTGCCCTAAAAAAGCTCATTTATTCACTTTCCGGCACCCCCGGTGGTCAGGTGTGGGACGTACAACTTT